CCCCCCCCCCCCCGCTTTAAAATTATTTTATGGTTTAGGAGCCCCAAACATTTAGTTTTATTTTCATAAGTTATTCTTGAGGAGATAACTTATGTCTAGAATCAAGAATTCGGGTAGAATATCAACGTCACTTGTTCCATCAATCACTTTTCCAAGCTTTCTATCTCCAAGTTTGAGTATCCCATCAAAAAAGCCTGTGTGTCCCTATTTGTGCAAGAGGGCATTGATGAATGCAATCTTACTCTTCGTTAACGTATAAACTTTAAAATAAGACCACAATTTTGATGAATTGATGGTATCACCTACGGGTCAATTATGTTTTGTCTATTATGCACGCAAAAACTTGATGAATTTAGTGTAAAATTGTTATCTGCTTGAAGCAGTGTATAGATAATTTTTTAGAAAAAATGTACTGGAAATATAAAATATTTAATTCGAAATATAAATACCATGTGTCACATCACATAGCATATATATTACTTCTTAAATGGGTTTGATTATGCGTGGCTATAGTTAATGACGATCCATCTCTAGCTATCTGTATATGTAATATCTAACATAAAATTATACTAATATTTATCTCATGAAAAAGTACAAATGTTTTTTGTACTTTTTTGGCATGCGTTATAAATATATTTTTTATTTTTTTATTCATTACTTTTTAGAATAAAAGCTTTGGTCCATAATGTCTTTCTTATGTATATTAGAATAAAAGTTTTGGTCTATAATGCCTTTCTTATGTATATTTTAATCCACTATAAAAATTTTATATTTTAATCATCATTAAAATACCATTGTCATCATCATTATTATTACTATTATTCAACATCACTTAGGGACAAAATTTTAATCAGTGTTCTCTATAAATGATAGTTTTTCAAAAATAGAAGCTTCGAGTTACTTATGAAGCATATATACTAATCATTATATAAATACTTATTTTGAAAAAAGTAAAAATGAAACGTGGTGGGTAGTTTTACAAATTTACATAAAAATAAATTTATCTTGTCGGATATTTTCAATATTAATTAAAATATTTGTAACTGCATTTGTCCTTTTCCCCATTCCTTTAAATATTTTCCATGTTAGTGAAAATATTTATATGAAACTCCACATGGAATTTCCCATTATTTTATAATTTATAAGAAAATATGTATGAATAATTTAATGAGTTACAAAAAATCATACAAATATATTCATTTTTGCCAAAGTTTTCCTCTTTTAAAATTTAATACTCCGTATATAATTTTATTTCTAAAATAATAAAATTTAATAAGGAATTTTATTTCTAAAGTAATTATGTATATTAAGAGCTTTAATAAGGAAACTTCCATTCAATGCTCTTGCTGACATGGATGAGGAAGTGTTAAAAAAATTGTCCAGTCAGCGTGCCAAGTGTCATAATTCTGGAAGCTCAACTCTCCTTTTTAATAGATAAAGGATATATAGGATACACCATTTTCTGTCATCTACTTTTTTCCACTAATTATGCAATTTGTTTTACAAACATCATTAAGACCATTTACACAAATAAAATATTATCTCGAGCATAGGAACTCTTTTCTGGTACACAATAAGTGAAGACGGTGCCCGGTGTCACCTCACCAGCCCTTATATAACTTTTATCAAAATTATATTAGTGTCTTTATTGAAGAATACAAATAGACCTGCATAATGAAATATAAAGTTGTAAAACATGAATATAAAATGAATTAAAAATTATAAAAAATTTCCTTATAAACTACAATGGTACTTATGAATCATTAATTGTAACCTTGCATTTTTTTGTTAAGTGCAACACCGTGCAATGTATCAAAATGTAAGAAAATCTAATCTTTGAATTAATAATATCTTGTCTGGTTCATTTTGGAATTACTAACAATATTTTATCTAAGCTTCAAAGCAATACTTATTTGCCATTGGTGCTTCTATCTAATGTCTTTTTCATTAATATATTTTGAATTAATGCAGGGAATAAGAATCATATGTTTGTAAAATTAGTAATTTTAGATTATTATATTTGATGTTTAAGTGATATACACCATAGAAAGAAACTCTCAGAGAAAGTCTGCATATCCTAAATGAATTTAGAATCATTTGATCGAGAATTATCGTTGAAGTTTCAAAAAAGATAATATTTGAGAGCTTTTGTTTCGCTATCACTATTAATAAAAGTCAAAACCAAGTGTTGTGTTATTGAAAAGAGTACTATCGACTATGTTATTGAGGAACGTTTACCAAACACTTGGATTGTGTAACGGTACAATGTTAATCATTGAAGAGAGAAAAGGTCTTCGATGCAATTTTACTATCTGCAAACAAAGTTAGAGAGAAAGTATACATACCTTAAAATAGTATTTGGAACTAACATTTCATTTCAATTCTTACATTTTAATTCCAAAATTTGAATTCATGAATTTCAAATGACAAGAGGTTGTATATAGATTTATAATTGAACTTTGTTATGAATTAGAAGAAATTGTCTAAAATCCAAATCTAAAGTTTTAAAGTTCCCAATGATTAAATTTGAGCAAAATAAGAATTTGAAATCTAAAATCAAGTTTCCAAACACGTCATAAATGAATTTAGCATCATTTGATCGAGGATTATCGTTAAAGTTTCAAAGAAGATAATTTCCGACAGTTTATGTTTTGTTATGATTATTAATGAAAGTCAAAGCCAAGGATTGTCATTTATTAGATTATTTATTAAGAATTCGGTATTCACTCATGGTTAACATTATATTATTGTTTCACGAGTGAAACTATAAAAGTATGATTAAGGGAAAAAGATTAAAGTAAGAGTAAAACATTGAAAATATACTAAAATATGAATTCAATGTTTTTATTCCGAAATAGGAATTAAAATGCATTTACATTACCAATCAAGACTGATGAGTATATCCTTATACCCGACCCGGATAACCGAAAGGGACAGGTCAAATATGACCGGTCACTTTTATCAATCACCAAATGAGGTTAACTCTTCGATTGGGACGGGTCAACTTTTGACCGGTCACTTCCACTAAAAAAGTGACCGGTCACATTTTGGGCGTTAGCCAATTCGTCACTTCATGTTGCGAAGGATAGTCCAGAGGACCAAAGAGACGGGTCAAACTCAAGAAATGACCGGACAACCTTGGAGGAAAGATGACCGGTAAGGTTGCGTCACTTGGGAATGGCAATCAACGTCAAAGGCCAGGGGACCACCCCGCCGTTCGGCCTTCACGAGGCAAATAGTGAAAGGAACATTTGTCACTTTGC